TCTTTGGGTCTTGTAAGTCTAGGATTCTCCCAGCTTAGGATCCCTTGATAATTGATACAGGGTTGCCAGATGTTCAGGAACTAGGTGGGTGGTTTATCCTATATGCAAACAAGAAGTGTTAAAACTGTTGGGATGATAGAAAGGTTGAACCTGAATGATCACAGAATTCTGCACCTGCCCTAGCTGTAAAACACTGGGCAAGCTACCTGACCCCTCTGAACTCCAAACGCCTCATTTGTAAAGCAGTTGTAACAAAAGAATCCGTCTCTTAGGTTTGGTCTAGGTTTAAATGAGATACAACAGGCAAAGCGGTTAGCCAAGTGCCTGGCCATACGCATGCAAAAGGGCCAGTCAGCTATTTTTAGAAATGGTACAAGCGTACTGTTGAGAACTAAAGTGCTTGCATTCAACATTTGGCAAATATTTTCATGTTAGTCTGCTTTTAGCTTATTCATTTATTCATTCATCTAACTCATTAATGCATTCAGCATATATTCACTGGGCATCTACTACCAGTCGATTCTTGCCCATCTCATCCCTACCCAGCTGCATTTAGTGGGATCTGGCCCCCAGGAGATCCCTGTGCAATTCCCTTCATAAGAACTGATGGAGGGAGGGGGGTTGTTACTTTGTGAGGGTGAAAAGGGTAACTATTGCATTGTTCTGTACACCTGAAACTAACAATAAAAAAAAAAAGAAAAAAAGAAAGAAAAAAAAGAACTGATGGAGTCTAGCCTGGCAGGAGGGTTCCTGGGAGACCTTGTCCCTGTGGCAGCTAGGGGTTTGGAAAATGTTTTCTGCCTCTCTGCCTTCTCAGACTGAAATGCCTGAACAGAAAAGACTCCTCTAGCTAGTATTTGAGCAACACGAAGTCAAGGACAGCTTTCCACAGCCACCTTTGTTCCCCACCCGTCACCCTTGGAGAGGTGTGCCCCCTTTCTCTTGAAGGCCCCAACCAACAAGCTGGAACGTACTTTCTCTATAGTGGGACTCTGTCTCCTAGGACTGACCTCTGTGGCTGGCGCACTGTGCTTTCGATGCCTCTGTCATCTCTACACTAGTCTTGTAGAGCCATCCCCTTCTGCCCTCACTGCATCTCAGCGCCTGTCTCCAGTTGGGCTGGAGTGGCCACACCACTACTCACACTTGTTTTGGAATCATCTATCTTCTCTGGGCCCCTTTATATCTCCCACCCCCACCCCTCTTCATGTGCTGTCCTTGGGCTATGTGGCCGAGACACTGTTGGCAGGCACTCTGCTGGGTGCCTGAGAGACAGACATGCATAGTTCACGAATAGTCCTCTCAGGTGTGATAACGGCCATGATGCATAATGCTGGGGAGTAGCCAGGGTGGGGCAGCTGGCTCTTTCTTGAGAAGTCAGGGCTGGCTTCACCAGGAGGGGATATTCGCGCTCCCTTGAAGGATTTAGCCAGGTAGACAGCTGGAGAAAGGGAATTCCACTCAAGGAGAATAGCATGTATGGAAGCCTGGAATTACACGATGGCCTTAGAGAAAACGTAATGTGGTGTGAATGGAACCAAGGGGATATGTTATATTGGGGTTAAGGGTTCATGAGTAGCAGAGGGAAGAAATGAAGCCGGAGAGGTAAATGGGCGTCTTCTTCTGAGGGCCTTGTAAGTCATACTGGGTAGTTTAGCCCTTGCCCTCCCAATGCTGGCAGCCTGTGGAGGGTTCTATATAGGGATGTTTTGACATGGTCAGATTTCAATGTAAGAAAGGTAAGACACGTGGCTCTGAGGAGATGGATTGTCTCATTTGTCCTCTAGCATTCTGTGAAGCAGATGGGACAGATACAGTTATGTACTTTTTATACCTGAGAACACCAAAGCCGGAGAGGCCTCAGAGCCAGAAAGCAGAGGACTGAGTTTTCCACCTGGCTTCCTGGCTCTGAATCTCTTCCTCCTAGGCACATTGCCACTGTTAATGGAGTCTTCTAGAAAATCTGCCTACAGCAGGGCAGTGGGTAGATGCTGACGAGAGCATTATGAAGCAAATGGTCATTGACACAATCGTGCTGAAGGAGGACAGCCCTGGGATTTTGTGGCCTGTGATGGTCAGTCTCCTGGCCTCTGTGCCAATGCACAGACAGCAAGCAGCAGTGGGGAGCTTTGAGCTTCAAGCTCTACAATGCCTTGACAAAATCCATTCATCACTGTCTCGCTCATTAATTCAGAGCCGTGTCTGCTACCTGATACTGGCATTTGTCAGTGGCTTGTTTCCGGAAGCCCCTGGTCCTCAAGGTTAGTCAGCTCTGCCGTCTACAGCCCCAGGGTGAGCCCTGGCAGTCAGAGGCAGGCCCTTTCTCTGCCTGCATTTTGTAAAATGAAATAGCTTCATGTTTTAAAAACAAAGGTAACAGGATCTAGCCGTATAGAACCGGAACTTAACAGATCAAGCAGACCTGGGTTTCAGCTCTGCTCCTGCCAATTGACTAGCTATGAAAGTTATTTAATATGTATGAGCTCAGTTTCTTATGTCTAAAATGAGCAAAGTCAAACCTACCTGGAAAGATTATTGTGATGATTAAGACAAGAGAATGTTTATAAAGAGCCTTGGCATGACGCCTGGCCCATATGAGTCCTCAGTGTATGGTGGCTTTCGTTCCTGCTCTTAACGCTGCCACCATCACCACTACGGCTAACACCACCGTTAAAGAATATTTGAAAAATAGAGACTTGAAGGAAAAAATATCTTGTAATCCTACCACCACGACGCAGCTGCCCTCATAATCTAGTTATGTTTCCTTCAAATCTCTTTCCCCTACTACTTCAGAACGTATCAGATTTTATAGCAGGCAGGGTTTTATTTCCTTTATGGTGGGAATGGCATTGTATTTATTTTTCTCATTCTTAATAGATATATTTCTGAGTATAAGAGAGGAGAATAAAATCCAGAGAGCATGGAAAAAACAAAAGGAAAAGCTATACTCGTAATGCCTACCCAATCCCTAGCCTAGGCAATCACCGTTAACATTTGGGTGTGTCTCCTTGTGTCTTTTACCCAATGTTTTATTGTAGAGTTGAGATCATATTACATATATAGTTTTTAGGTGATTTTTCAGTTCACAGGATATCATGAGTGTTTTCCTGTATTGTAAACATCATTTTCCAAGCCTGTATAATAGTCCATCGAATAGCTCTATCATAATTTACATAAGCATTCCCCTCATGTTCAATATTAAGTTTTTTCCAGGTTTTCAATCTAAACAGCTTTCCATGACAGAACCTAGGGAGCCAGCCTTGGTATAACCAAAAAGCATAATGAATTTGTGCTATGAGTATGGCCCTGGGTGAGGCATGGTGGGACCTCTCAGATAAATTAGACGCTCAGTCTGTCTCAAAAGACCTCAGATCAGAGAGTAGGCAACCTGGAAATATTTACTGGGATAAAACATACAGGTGCTTCTTTGCCAGACACTGCCAGGGAGTTGACCTACGTGTGGGTAGCCCTCTCCCCTGTGGACGCTGGGATCTGGGAAACACAGCTTTTAAAGGGGCAGAAGCCTCACTGCCCCTTCTCACCTACCAGTGTGCTGTTTGGCTTCCAGTGCTCAGAGGCCGTTTGAGCCTGTTACTGTCAGGGACCTGTGCCGATTTCCTTTGAGTATCACTTCCAAGTGGTCTTTGCTGGGAAAGAGTGATGGCTGTAGCATCAGGAAAGGAACGTGTGTGGGAATCAGAGTGGCTGTAGTCTTAGTTTTGACACACACTTGCTGTGGCACTCCAAGGCAAGTTCCTTCCGCTTCCCGAGCCTCAGTTATCTCCTAACAACGTGGAAAGATTGGAGTGGAAGACCACCAGGGCCCTTCCAGCACTGACATTCCATAAGTACCTGCAGCCTTCCTCTTGCCAGGAGCTCAAGTGAACATCCTGACAAAGGTCACAGGATGCTTGCCTCGAGTCTGGAGCTCCTTTTAATTAGTACTGGAGAACCATTTTTGCTTTTATATTTCCAGTCACTTCCTCCTGGTTGCCGTTCGGACGTGTGGGGACTGTAAGGAAAGACGTGCCTCTCACTGGGTGGAAACACTGGATTCAGAACCCCAAATTATTGTCTTTTATATGTTAGGTATTTGTTCTTTCATGTATTGTGATCTTTCATCCATTCTCTAATTCAGCAGATGCGCACCGAGTCCCCCACCTTGTACAATCCATCTGTGCAATGCAGAGGTGAATAAGACTCAGCCCTGTTCTCAAAATACTTTCAGTCTAGTGCAGAGGCAGGAAACCAGTGTCAAAGGTCACATGATAATCGCTACAGTGGGGGTATGAGTAAGTTGTGCAATAAAAGAAGTGCTTGAGTCTGCCCGACAGCAACTGCAAAGATGACTCGGTGATGCTTTGAGATTTTAGAGGATGAGTGGAAGTTTTCTAGGTAGGCAGTCGAAGAGAGGGCATTCCAAGCAGGGGAACAGCATATGCAAAGAAGGGCCCAGATGAGCATGTCATGTTCAGAGAACTACAGATGTTTGTGTGACTGGAAGGTGAAAGGGAGAGTGAGCAGATGAGGAAAGTCAGGCCATTGTCCTCAGACACGTTTACACCAAATTCTTTGCTCGTTTTATTAGTCCGGGTGAGAATGATGGTCTTTTGAGTTCAGTTTTCAAAAACTCATTTGTATTGCCTTGTATTTCCATTTTTATAGTAACACATGCTCATTAGAGAAAATTTGAAAAATGTAGAAAAGTAGAAAGAAGAAAGGATTAAAAAAAATCACTCATGGTCTTACTGCTTAAAGACAAATACTTTAACATCTTGGTGTATTTCCATTCAAATTTTTTTAATCACTTTTTATGTAGTCGTGAGTGTGTTGTAATTACAGTATTAACTTTTGTATATGGAGCCCCTTTCTGCTTCCTAAAATTTGCCAAAAATGGATGTTGGTATTATTAAAAAAATAACTGTGATCATAAAGTATACAGGCTGAAATAGCTATACATTTTCTTGCTCTAATATAACTTCTTTTCCTTCTTTTTACAGGTCTCTTGTGGCTCAGAGCATAACCTGGCAGTGATTGGTATGTAGTATACTGGTAACTGTTTCTTCTGAAACTGCTGTGGCAGAAGTGGAGGAGACCCTTGGTTAACCAAAGCCAGGGTGCATGTGTGTGTGCATGTTGGGGGAGGTTCTGGGAAATGGGACTTTGGTTGACCAAGGCTTTCCTAGAAGCTCCTTTTCTAAAAATCTCAATCCCCATCATTGAGCCTCTTTTCAAGATGCCTGAGCCAGTCTCTCTGCCTCAGGAAGTGGCATGTGAAGATAATAAAGATCTTATTAGGCTGAGGGCAGCATGTGTAGAAAGTCAGATATGAAAGGGGGAAGAGGATTGGGCCGCTGCTGTTCCTGTGAATAAATCCATTGCATTAAGTTCTTTCCTCCTGGTTGGCTCTTTCTTTGGAAATACGGGGCTCTGCGCACTTACTGCTTTGTGTTTCATGGCGCTCAGGACCTCCCAGCTGAAGCCAAGCCTCTGGTGAATTGAGGCTTCCTCTTAGTTGACTGGATAACCAAGGTTCACTGTTTTCATCATCAGGGCCTCTTAGTAGTTCCTTCGAAAGCCTTCTTATCACTTCCACATGTAGATTCTGTCTCCATCTCACAATACATTAGAGAGACAACAATATAGGTCCTGACTGCCTAAGTTCAATGCAGGTTTCCACTTACTACCTGTGTGAACTTGGACAAGGTACGTAACTCCTCAATGCCTCATTTTCTTCATCTTTAAAATGGGGAGGGCACTAGAGCCTACCTTGGGGGGTTGTTGAGAGGGTTAAATGAGTTAATACAGGTAAAGCATGTGGAACAGTACTTAGCTCCTTGTAAGGGTTTTAGAAGAACAGGTTGTTATTACTTGATTCCGTTTTTTTCAAATAATTGCCCTTCTGTGGGCTTTAGTTCCCCCATCTGTAAAACGGAGGGGTTAAAACAGGAAACGAGGGTTCCCTCCCACTCTCATATTTTAGGGCGCTATTCCAACTCCCTCACTGTCTGCCCTGTGCTGGCGATTTCTGTTCCCTGTCTACTTTTCTCTCCCAGCCTCTGGCTCTAAGCTTCTGAAGGGCATGGCCCCTGTATTTTCTTTTTGCTTCCTGCCTCCTTGTGGCACCCAAAGCAGTGCCTGGCACTCAGCAGAGACTCGAGCACTGTTTTCTGAATTGAGCTAGACTGGTTCCGCCGCTCGGGGTGGCAGCAGCTGGAAGCACCCCTTTGCAGGCCTGAACGTGATATGCAAGGAGCAGAACCAAGGACAGCAGAGGAGGTCGGCCGCCAGCCAGCAGAGGGGGCGGGGAGCAGAAGGGGCTGGAGTCAGAGGAGACAGAAAATGGAACAGCAAACCTGCATGCTTTGCAGCGGTGCCGGAACTATTCCAGCCTGGGTATAATTAAGACAAGCTAATCCGAGACTCAGAGGTGGTGCCTAGGATGCTGCTGCTGTCACTGGACTGGGCGAGGTTGGCTTCCTCTGGGACCAGCACAAACAAGAAGATTGCAGGGAATCTAAATACTTGAAAGAACAAAATCCAGATGAAGAAGGGGACCAGCGCTAGCAGGCTGGCAGGCTGAGCTGACAGAGGCCAGCATGGGGCTGTAGAAGGAGCATAGACTCTGCAGGCAGACGGCCCTGGTTCCAACCGGGTCTCTGTGGAAGCTTCCACTTTTGTCCCCTCATCTGTGTAATGGGGATAATCCCACCTTGCAGGGTTGTCGTCGTGGCGATGAGGTGGGATAGTGTATGTGAATACCTGGTATATAGGGGTGCATAAGAAATACATACATATATACCAGGGGTGCCAGAAAAACGTATACAGAGTTTAAGCGATGTTATCTATGCTCAAGCAGTAGTTCTCAGTAATCGGAAGTGTCTGGACGCTGATGGGAACCACTTTGAGCACCTCTAGTAATTGCAGAAGTCAAATGTGACTTGTATTCATCTTTTGTTACCGGTATATACTGAGTATTACAGTTAATACAGTTTTTTTCCTTTCTGAAAATGTGTAAACATTTTTTTGGCACCCTCTGTATTTATCATTCTGTTTATTTCTCATTTCTCTTGGTCAGGGTGGGGAGAGGGGAGAATCACTTGTTCGTGTAACTGTTATAGTGAAGTACTCAGTTGGAAGAGAGAAGTAATAACATTCTGGAAAGGTGTTCCCAGCATTGCCCAGTGAAGAGAACACCACAGGCAGTGGGAGAGCAGGGCCTGCCGGTGAACTCTGTGAGGGCAGACCTGTCATCTTCCGTTTTGTCCCCAATGCCTAGCGCCTGGCTCAACAGTTTGCAGGATGAATGGTTTCAGAGTCAGGAAAGGTGGGCCAGCCAGTCACAAGGCTCTGAACATGTCTACTTACCTACCTCCGTGGGAGGAATGGGGCCCCAGGAGGAATGTAGCCCTCCGTGGGTACCCTGCAGGGTGCAAGCCGTGCAACAGGAAGTCACAAGAAGTGCCTGTTAGCTCTGGCAGGAGTCCAGCAAGGGGCAGACGAGCTGGAAGAGGAGAGCTCCTTCCAGCTGAAAGCCTGTTCTCACAGCCAGCATCTCCCCTCAGCCCTTCTGCCATTGCCCACTTTACATGGATTTCCCTGCCTTCAGTCTCATTCCCGAGACCCAGCCCCACAGAGCCGTTGCTGGGTCCCACACAGTTACAGAACAGACTAGAACAGAATATAAAGAAGCCAAACTCTGCTCCAGGGTAGAAGCAGCCGTAATGTTTAATGAATGTGCGACAATCACATTGGAAGAGGAGGTGAAATCGAGGCAGGTGAAGGACATAATCGAAGACCTACTCTGTCTTAGAATGGACACAACACCTACTTTATAAAGAAGACAGCTGAGACTCAGAAGTTAGACAGGCTGCCCAGGGATAAGGAGCAGCAAAGGGTAGAGCTGTCTTCCTGACTTCCAAGACTGCTCTTTCGACTGTATTATATCCTAGGGCCTGAGGGACTATGGGTAATGCTGAAGAAGAGCGCAGTCACTGGGCCAAATTCTGGCTCCTTCACTTGTGAGCTGTGTAACCTTGTATAAGTGGCTTAACCTCTCTGTGTATTAACTGCCTCATCTGGAATATGTTATTGACCTCATAGGGTTGTTATATAATGTGCTAACTGCCTGGCACAAAAGTAAAGGCTCAATAAATGTTAGCTAATATTAGCTGTTGTTGTTGTTGCTGTTATATTAAGGCCTCAAGGAAGGAAGTGATTATAAGATGACTATAAGAAGGTCTGAGACTCAGGGTGGGAATCTCAGAAGCTAGAGAGGGACGTGTCCAGGGCAGGAACTCAGCAGAGCTGCAGAATGGATTTGTACACTGTATCCTGGGGACTCCAGTCTAGGGGATCCAGAAATCCCAACAGCTCTGGAAACATCGCTAGTCCAGATTTGTCTCAGGTGAAGATTCTGCTCTCCACTGTCCCAGACGGGATCTCAGGCCCTGCGTGTTCCAGCTGGAGGCAAGCTCCCCGGCAGCCATATTTCAGGTGTCTTAGGGGATCAAAGTAATTCTGCTCTGCTACTTCATTTGCTTCCAGGTTTCTCCCCCCCCCCCACTTTCTTTTGCAATTTTCTTTCATTCTTTCCTTAGTTTTCCAGTGAAGCTTCTCTTAGACCTGTTCTGTGTTTGCCTCCAGGCACCCCCATGGCTAGACAGGATGGTGTGGTGAGATGGTGCAAGTTCCTACTTTAGACAAAGGAAGAGCTGTGGGAGCTGGGCATAGAAAAGCTCAAGTGACAAGCAGGCAGGAGAGAGCTGAGGCCATTTGCCATGGCTGGCCTGGCCACTTTCTAGCTATGTGCCTGTACAATCACTCTTTGTCACCGAGCCTGATTCTTCATCTGTAAAAGCACCATCACAGTACCTACCCCTTAAAGCTGCTCTTCCAAATGGCACAGGTATGTCAGGCGCTTGCTCAGTGCCTGACACGTAACAGGTGCTCAGCAGGTGCTCACTCACTTGACAGGTTCACTAGTTTGCTTCCTTCCTTTCCACCCAGATTTCCCTCCACATCTGACAAAGCTGGCTGGCTGGCTCCCATTCATGGGCAGGGACTGAGGTCAGCAGAGGTGAGATGAGTGCATGTGGCCACCACTTGCTCAGAAGATGCTGGCCTGCCAGAGGCAGGCTCCCCCAGCCCACCCCTGTCTTTGGGGCCCTCACCTCCTTGTGTGGCTGAATTGACTCCAGCTGTTCTGCTTCTCCCAAGAGCAGCTTATTTGGGCTTGAATGGGCAATTTGTTTGCCTTCTCTCCTGATGTGCAGTTGTTCAGCCTTCCCTTCCTGCAGAGTAAAAAGAGCTGACTGCATTTCCTCTCTCCCCGCTCCGCACAGACTCTTGGAAAGGATTTTATCGATGGCCTTTTTCCTGAAGCACTCAGGCTGCTCAGGCTCGCCAGATAGACATTGTTAAAGGGTTAGATATTTGGCAGGAAAGTGTGGTGCCTCCTCCTCCTCCAAGCAAAGCCAAATCTTTTACCAAATTGGAGGTATAATCTATGCAAGGATTTTTTTTTTTCATTTCACTGATCATTTCTAGTTGTTGAACCCATGTACCTTTGTAATATGTGTGGTAGAATGTTTGATCTTGGCCTGAAACTCATCAAACAGGTTCATGTAAGAATTTAATATAACTCTTTTTGTGATGCTGGCTATTTCTGAGAGGCAACACCTGTCAACCCCAGGGCTGTGTAGAAAGCTTAGAGGTAAGTACAGACTTGTGTGGTCCTGTGCACTGTGATAGACAGAGTGTATTATCCATTTAACCCTCATAGCAACTTGGTGAGTGGGCACTATTGTTAACCCCGTTTTCTAGATGATGGAAGCTGAAGGCTAGGCTGAGCAGTTTGCCCACCCAGGTCATCGGGTTCTCGGGTGGACTCTGTGTGTTGGGCCTTTGACCCAGGTGTCTATCTTCAGGGCCTCTGGTCTCCTACCTGGCGCTGCCTTCCTGCACACCACTGACAGCCTGGCCTACTTCTGAGGTCACCAGATAAGATTATTTCAACCCTTCATTTCAATATTTAT